CCGAAACGTCAGCTTAATCGTGAACAAAGAACAATAACACCTCGCGTTTGCTCAAAAAAATACGAACAAAATCACTTGACGGTGTAGTTGTTGTTCGTAATGTTGGGTAGAAGTCTAGAAATCTTTAATCGCGGATCGGACGCGCGGATTAAATCAATGTCGTGGTTATGCAGCTACTGCTACATCCATTCTGCTTCTCCAGTAGATTGTTTTGATAATTAAGGATGTCGTTTGCATTAAAGAACGACTTTTAATTGATGACGTCATCCATAAAATAGGTGGAGAAACAAGTGATATAATCTTTTCTACCGAGTATTTTGCAATATAATTTACTAGGAGTCGCATTCGATCATCTAGCTCGTCTTCATCGTCTTCATCCGGGGATGATCGTCGTAAGCGTCGAGATCGTCACGATCGTGAAAAACGTCGCGATCAACGTAGTGATAAACAGAGAGACAGAGATCGTGCACGGGACAGCAGGTACTGGCGGGGAGAGGAACGAGGAAACCGCGAGAGGGAACGCGATAGAGAATGGAGCGATAGACATCGCGAAAATAGGTGTGTTGGTTGCAAAAATCCTAGCCTTTAAATGAGTTAGATTTTTTTGTGTGCATGGAAATTTACTAGTTCAGACTTCATCGGGCTGGAGGATATTCATCACGTGTTCGAGATGGAAAAGAAGTATGTTTTCGTTGCTGTTTTGTTATTTATTTGGAAAAGTTTTATTTATAGGAGCCATCGTTGCCTTCATTGATGGGTTTGGACGTAACTACACCGCCGAATCTAAATCCTATTTGTGAAAAACGTGATAGGTCTAGAAGTCGTTCGAAATCCCCTCAGAACGTCCATTCAGCATCAGGAATGGAACGAAGGAAGCGGAAAAAGAAAGACTCTCGGTGGAAAAACGACCAAAATTGGCGTTTCCGGAAATCTGAAAAGGAGCGAAAGTCGAGGAAAACAAACGAAACTGATGATGCTGCGAGAGAAATCGCTGATGAGGAGGCGATTGATGGAACTCTTAGAGAAATAGCAGAGGTATTGTTTTTAAAAATGTACAGTTGATGCAGCACTTTTATTTTACGTGAAAAGGTGTTTGTTTTTCAATCTCAAACGACCATCGTTTATTATGTTGAAACGTTTTCTGAGTCGAGGGATGCAAGTAAGTAATGGACACACAAGATAGCATTCACTAGCAATTAGTACTTAGAAACGGCAAGTGGTATTGGGTCGTGTATGGCTCCTTCAATTTCAGTGCTCTCTTTTTCACCAGGGAATTTTTTTACACTAATCTTGCACTTTGTGTCTAAGTCTGGCCGATTGATAAGTTGATATTAACAAATAACTCTTGGTGCTAGTTTTTCCATGGTTGACAATAATTTATCGATTAGTGGAGCATCTAAGGAATTGGAAATTTGATAGGCTTATAAAGCCGCTTTGCTTTATCGCTGAAAACGTACGTATGGTTTTATACAAAGTATTTTGTTGATCCTACTTTCGTTTAGAGTTAAAATTTTCAGAAGAAAACTGAAAGTGGGATTAAGATTTTTAAATTTCCGACTCAAACGTATCAGCTACAACAACAGTCGGAGCGTCATCGTGTCCAGTTGGACGAAATCTCGCTTGTATAGTTTTATTTTTCGTTTTCTGAACATGAACATTGGTTTTCAAAAATGACTGACATGTTGCTTCACGAAGTCGGGACTTTATTTTGGTGGAGTAAGATAGTTCACGTCTTACTGGCGAAGGGGTGAATATTTGAAGTTTTTATTTGAATCAATAAAATCCATCTGATCTAAGGTACGGTAGTTTAAACTTAAATCAGTTATTTTGACTGATCAACAGTGCTTTTGACCCAAACTGAGCTAAAATACCCTTAATGCCACTTCCAACACAGGGACTTCACTCATATCAGACACCGATTTTGCACCCAGCTTTTTCAAATTTCTGAATGTAATTGAGGAAAGGAGTATGTTAGTTTTCTGTGTTTGTATTTTGACTTTCTAGTTCGTCCGTGTTGAGGCCAATTGTGATGACGACGGAATCGAGTTTGACATAGAAGATGCTGTTCTCAAGGATGCTGTGACAGAGGCAGAAGATGAGAGGAGTGTTACAGATACCGATCCACCTCCTGATGATACGGCAAATGTGAGTCTGTCTAATAATTGTATTTGTTTACCATATCTATTCAGTGGTTTTTTTTTTTTCGTGCAAATCTCGTAAGTTTTGTTTCATTTCAATTCCATGTCAGCCGTCTGCTGAGCGAATGAGTGGGGCGGAGAATGAGGAACCTGTGGAGCATCCCTTGGAATCCGAAGATGTTGAAGTCACGAAAGAAGATATTATTGATAAGCCTCAAGTTGTTGTCGAAGACAAAGTAGAGGAAGTTGAGAATAAAGTCTCTGCGCGAAGGAAGGATAGGAAACACAAAAAGCATAAGAAGCATAAGAAGCAAAGGTAGGGTTTATCATGCATTAAATTTTCGATGATGTAAGGTTTTACATCATCTAATTGATCAGTTTAGGGAAGGCGATGACGATATTAACGGCGAATCAAAACACAGACATAAGAGAAGAAAGGAGAAAAAAGAAAAAAGGAAGAAAGAGAAAAGGCATCGACGTGACAAGAATTATGACACTGATGAGCTTAGCAAAGTAGGTTCGGCGTTATTATTAAATGATTTTCTCGTTGTAACAATAATTGTCAATATTTATTGTATTATTAACATTACTTTCATTGTTGACTATTAGTATTAATAATTACTATTTTTTCAGCACGAGCATGATAAAGAGCCAAATACTGTTCTCGAAGAAAGCGAAACAAAATATGTCCATAGCAGAGATGGCGCAAAAAACTACAGCGAAGAGCGCAGAGGATCTGATAATGTTTCTCAGAGGAAAAGTGATTGTTACGGAGTTTCCCGTGACAGTAGAAAACATAATGAAAAAGATAAGTCGGAATTGTGCAAAAGACATGAAGAGAAACAAAGTGGGAGGAGTAGAAGAGAGCGAGACCGTAGTGTTGACAAGCGGTATGGAGATAAGGTTTACGGAAAAGACAATAAGCATAGAAATAGGAGTCGTGAAAGGGATATGCGAAAAAGTAAGGATCATTCGAACAAAAGAAAGGATAGCGATAGCAACGTCGACAGAGAATCCGAAAATAGGCAACGAGGGGATCGAAAAGGAGAGTTTGGGACTAAAGAGCACTTGGAAAAGCATGAAAAGAATGATCGCTCATCGGATAGAAGCCGTAACGAAAGTCAAAGAAGCGTTGCCTTAAGTAGCTCAAAGGAGCGTGAAATGGCGAAAACTGCAGATGTGAAACCATCACAATTCATCACAAAGGAAGCTGAAGCAGGAACCAGAGATATCGAAGCCTCCGACACTACGAAACAAAGAGTTCTCACTACCATGGCGAATGATGATGAGCCTTTGGTTAAGAAGCAGAAAGCAGTTAGTTTTTTATCAATATTTGAAGAATTTTTCTGTTTGCAAAAAATGCTAGTCTAGGATGTCGCAACCGGATCGTCTTCATCAACACCTATGAAACCAGTTCCGACGTCGACTGTAAAGTTTAAGGTAAAGGCACCTCCGGTTTTGAAACTAAGTGGCGTAGATAAGGAGTCTACCGACATCGAGGAGGATAAAGCTAAAGTAAGTGGTACATTTATATGTATTAAAACAGCATCTTTTGCAAAAGTGTGTCAATAAAAAAAATACTATTAGTTCCTAGGACCGACTTTCTATTAAATTCGGAATTCGGTTATAATGTGTCGTTTTCTTTTTCAGCCTTCCAGGTTCTGAAGAAGGCGGTACTGCCGAAACTATAGCTACTCTTCTGTTCCATGAGTTTTTGTAACGAAATAAACATGTGCTGTATAAAAATCCCGCGATTTCTGAAACAGGAAACGACATATTTATAATACCAGTAAAGTATAAAGGGTAAAGCTCTCGGCGTTGATCAATCCCTGAGTGATGCGCCTTGCATTCGACTTCATTAAGTATCGTTGGAAGTGATTGAATGGATATCTCGTCTATACAATGAGTCGTGGTCACCTACCGATGTATCGGTCTAAGCGCCTACGACCACTGCGCAGCATGTTTCTCTACAGTTACAGCTAGGAATCAGAAATTCTCAGTTTTCGTTCTATGAAGTCCGTAGTAATTGTTCTTTTCTATTTCTAGAATTATGCTCTAAAGTAGATTAGAATTACGCACCATCTTATATCCTTCTCTCATAGTTTGTTAGTAAGCGACGTAATATTTATGTGAGGAATACGTTTTTTACTTCCACAACTTAAGCCTTAGTTGAGACGAACTTTAAAGTTGAACTTACGTAGTGGCTTAAACTGACTAACAATACACATGTTTCTACTCTTTTACTACGATTGGTTACAAAAGTTCTCTTAGCAACGATGTCTAGTATATCTTTTATTTCTTCTCTGACATTTTAATCGACTTTCGGCGAGAATAGCGCTATATTTCTACAGAATAGGTTTCTATGGGTCTCCATGCTTTTGTCATATTACCAATCGAACTGAGTCGTAAAAATTTTTCAATTCCAAACCTACAAAGGTAATGTTGTTGAAAGTGCGTGAAGAAATGGTATTTGGTATTCTGTTTAGTAGCAGCCTATTAGTGATCAGTGAAAACTTTGTGTCGGTCTTATTTGTAACGGCAGCAATCGTTCAACACATTGTAGAAGAGGACCTATCTTTACAAGGTTATGTCTGAGTTATATAAAATACTGTCACCAGCATCAATCCATTTCCAAATTTTCAGCAAGTATAAATTGCCAGCTGTAAACGTGAAACTTGTTTTACGAAAGCTCGACCGTTGAACCGATTCCGTTGTCGAATTAAAGGGCTCCTTCAATAAGAAATTTGTGTGTTCCAAAGAAAAAACCAGGATTTTATCGTTTGGCGACGTAGTTTTTAATGTTGAAAGTACAATTGCCACTGTGCATAAATGCATTGGAATCAGTGTGAATTTGTTAAATAGGTAAAATCCAATATCCTTTTATTAAGGCTTGCAGAGGCTAGCAACTGATTGGCTTCGAAGTTGGTTTCGAAATACCTTCTTGGATTTTTAAGCTAACACGACATTGATAAAGTTATTTATTCGGCTGACATCTCGACGTCTTCGTGTTCCTAAGTGCCGATGATTCGCATTGATAGTCTGCGGTCGCTCGTTTTCTCCATGTGGCGTCTCATCGTTGCATCGAGTCAGATCTTCCACAGTGAAGCATCGATGGAATCAAGCAACTTCATTCGAGAGCGTTGCTTTATACAGAACGATTGTTGTTGATATGACTAGCTGTTGATAATAATTTGTATTCAAAGAGTAATCCATACTGCAGTAGTCGGTGTTATATTAGTCATTACATAGCGAATTGCAAAACAGTAATTTTCGAACCGACTTGAAGGTTCTGTTAAAGACGAAGACGTCGAGACGTTAGCTTAATAGGTCTTAACCAACATCGTGTTAGCCTAACAGTCCATGACGTTGTTGATTAGAACTACCGACGTTAGATGACGGTCGGTTTGGAAGTTGTTGCTTTCGAAATATTTAGCTGTGCACAGTCCTCTTCCAACGAGATAGGAAAGGAAGGTTTAAGCTAGCCACGAGCTTGGTTACCATGTAAATAGGATACTGAATTTAAGAGTAATGTCTACGACAACGGTATCGTGTTGCCTCACGTTTCATCCATCATTAAGCGAACATGCGATCATTTTATAAGAACTTTAGCATAGTAATCGACCCGTTATCGATTGTATATCCTAATCATTTCATCAGTTCTAACATTGACTGCAAATGTTTATCTTCCGTTAAATTTATGTGGTCTTCGAAACCATCGGAAAACACATTCAAGAGCACATTTCAAACTTACTCGCATGCACTGGATCTAGAAATAAAACGTTTGTAAGCATCTAAAAATGAAGGTGAGAATAAAAAATGAATAGATTTTTTTCCTGGTCTGAAGTGAGTTGACTGCCACTTTATTCTTTATTTGCGGAAAACTGACGTTTCGGCTGATTTAGCCTTCCTCAGACCTTGGAAAGGTCAGTTGACTGCAACCTACGCAGCCAAACACCTCCATAAAGAAACAGAGAAAGTGGTAAATCAACATTTCAATCGGATTGATTACAAAACAACTTCTTAGCACACTCACCTTTTTCCATAAGTCTTCCATGGGTAGATTGTTGTCAACTTGACCGTTCTGAGGAAGGCGAAACCCGCCGAAACTTCAGACTTTCCGTGAATAAAGAATAAAGCGGCACCTCGTGTTTGCTCAAAAAAAGTATAAAGAATTATTGGATCAGTACCGAGGTTAATCAAAGATCGGTTGCGGGTCGACTGCTGCACTGAGTTCTGTGGTCTACCAACCACCAACTATTTTTCATAGTAGGGTCACGTTCTCAACTCAACTAAACAACGATTCATGCACTTAAATAGTGGAGTTTGCTTTACTTAATTTTTTACCTTTTTATTGCTGTTTAGTTGCCTGTTGATGACAACAGTGTTGGTGGTGATCCAAGGATGCGTGAAGCGTTTTCACCGCCGAAACTACAACGGAAGAAGATCACTCTTAACCTTTAAGAACACTAACACTTGTTTTGCCTTTGATACTAGTCGGGTCCATAGAATCCGTTATACTTTATTTTTTTCATGTTGTAACCATTACGATAAATAAACCACACAAAATGGGCAAACTCTGTTATAAAGTTGTTGCGCTGCTGTTTTGGATTGTTAGTTTTATTGTGGCTTATTTATGGTTATCCGGTAGCGATCTGCGGAGGTTGTATAGTGTGTGTCTTTAACTCTATGTTCTCAACTTTGTATTGTATTGTTAATTTTTTCACTTATAATAAAATTATTTGAATCCTTGCGTATCCCCAGGCTTAATGGTGAGACACCTTGGTTACCGTCTGTGATCATCTTTTGTTTTTGTTCTACTTTTTTTTTTGGTGCTTTGATGCTATTCAAATAACTTTGAAGTTATCACTCACTACATCCAGGAGCTTTCCTCTGTTTAATACTAGTGGTTCGTTGACATTATTTCTATCTGTTACGTCGGAACAGTTGATTGCTCATTATCTCTATTTAAAGCAGACTCGTTTAAGCGTGAGCAACAGTTTTATGTGAATGGAGGTTCGAATCAAAGAAGCAGAGGCAGGTGGTACATTAGCACAACGGAAGACAACCGATGGGAGTTACGTGATGAAAGATGCGGTATGTACTAGTAGAAAGGTGCCTGTCAGGCACTCGTCATTCTATAGTGCTCGTAATTACTAAAGTAGTTTGAAAAACCGATTTTCTATAAACCACGGCATAAGCAATCGATGTATTTATTTATAAGTTCTTATTAACTAATCTTATTGAGCTGATGCGAGGTTGATGGGACACTCGTAACAACACCACTCTAAGGAAGGCGAAATCGCTGAAATGTCAGCCATCGAACTACAAGGACAGCAACAACAACAACAACAACAACAACTTACACCAACCTCGCAACAGCTCGTCAAGATCAGTTCATAAAAGCTGATAAATAAAGTTTCAAGTGTAGTTTCTCTGGGCGCTCGTCACGATTTCTTAATGCAGATTTTAGTCGATTTTACCCATTAGGAGCGCTCCTAGATAGCGCTTAAAGCTATCATTTGTGGCCATTGGCGAGTTATATGTCCATGGTCATTTTTGCAGAGAACTAGATTATTTTTTCATTTGGGCTAAAATATTGAGAAAATAAAATATACGCGTACTATAGTTTAGAGACAATGATGATGAGATATTTGCAGAAGTCTGCGGTGGGGATCGAACATGCTACTACCCTTTCCGGTGGCTAACGCGTTCACCACCACACCATGCACCTCTTTCTTTTCTCCTGTCTCGCAGCTAGTTTGCAATCTACCAATGCCATCAACATTTGCTAGTCAACGAGACTGTTCTGGGGAGCATTAATCGGCAATGAACCCAGTTACAGCTGAAATAACAGTGTTAACTTTTTATTTAATGCGTACTAGTAGGCAGTAAATAAAACGTTAACACATAGTGCTCTGAGTTATCCTGCCGTAATGTTAAGGTTTCACGTCTTTAATCATAGAACAAGGATGTGGATGTGAATTTTAGGTGGTTCTTGAATACCAGACACCTTCTGGTGAATTGGTGAAGCTAAGAGCCCCGAATGAAGGTGTGGTGACATTTGATCGTGCGGCGAAAAAAGGTGCAGAGATGGTTCAGGTTCGCAATATAGTTATAAGGAAAGTTTGTCTCCTTTTCTGTCGGTTTATTCTTGGTAACATAGGAATATTGCCACTGGTGGTCAGGCGATGAAGGGAATTTCAAGTTTTATAGGATATGTTAATCGCTCGAATCGAACCTTGTCAGCATGCTATTGTTATCAAAGATATGTGTGCAACATGTGGACGCGATCTAAGAGAGTCAGTGAAATTCTTTTCTAGCGCTTCTTATATCCAAATTGTATGATTGTTTTTATATTAATTTATTTATATGACCAGTCTTGACTTCTACTGCGCGGATCCCAGCACTTCTCACATTCAAACATTTTCTCGCATTCATTATACACGAAGACCTTGAGACACTTTACGTGTGGCTTCGACTACTGCTTAAAGATTTTCATTTCATCTTGAGTCCCGTAGAACGTTAGTGAAGTCGTTTCTCCCTAGAGTCTTGGGATAGCCGAGCTGCAGTGTTCCCAATTAGATTGCACCGAGTGATTTTTCCCCGACAAGTCCGGTTCCAATTTCCCGACCCCGGATCGATGAAAAGCGTGGTTATGTCGGAACGGAATCGAACCAGCACCGTACTGGTGGTAACCGACAAGAACATTTGGCAAAGTTGTATAATAATGGTAGTAATATATGACTTGTAAATTGTAGAATTCAGAATTGTACAATAATGTATAATGTATGAATTCTATCCTATCGATAGACTATAGTGATGTTTTCATGTCTAAATGCTCCCATTGATTTCTTTCAGTACAGTTACAGATTGTCATGCTTCAGAAAAGACGGTCGAGCAGGCCAGCGAAGAGAAGACTCGACGGCCAATGTGTCTATGATTCACCATGTTCCGGAACTCATTGTTTCAGACGACGTTAGTACTGGAAGTGAAATTTGTGTAGCGATAATAACGGAAGGGATAGAAGTACTTTTAATTCGTGCAACATTTTCGTTCCAGTTGGCGAAGCAAATTGGTTCAGCAGACCTGAAAAATATCCTAGCTTCACGAAAACTGGTGCTACTAGTCGATCTTGACCAGACTATCATTCATACAACGAATCGTCCGTTCAAAGTTGATCCTAACGTAAGTGATAGGGCTCTTCTAGAAACTCGTATAAAATACGTACTTCTTTGTCAGTGTTTCCTTCTTTTCTTGAACTGTTGTAAGTATTTCTAATAGTTTAGCATGGGGATATTTACACTTACAAAATGTTTGGTACTGAATACCATACGAAACTACGACCGTATACTCATGAATTTCTGGAACATATGACCGGACTTTTCGAGATGCACATAATCACCTATGGACAGCGTCAGTATGCGCATAAGATTGCTGAGGTGAGCAAAACTACAGCTTAGTGGGAAAACAGCTGTGCCGAGGAATACACTCATACTTACTGATACGTTGAGGTCTTTGTGCATTTCTTTTTATGTAACAAGTGATTCTTTTAAGATCATCGACCCGAAGAAAACGTTATTCGCGCAGAGGATTATGTCACGAGATGAACTATTCTCGGCTCAACATAAGACGCGAAATTTGAAAGCACTTTTCCCATGCGGTGATCAACTGATTGTTATAATTGATGATCGGGCTGATGTATGGCAGTTTTCAGAAGCTCTCATTCAGGTATACCTGGTGATGGTTTTCGTAGCAACTCATTAGATACCTGTTAGATTCTTAGGCTATTAAAAGCATCAAAGTTAATCAGGAACGGATACGTTTCCGCGTTACCCAATTGTTCTCTTCATCTATGAAATTTAGTTGAAAACTAGTAGACGTCACTGGCCAAATTTTTTCTGTTCGGTGTTAGGAGATGTTCTTAAAGTATAAAGTAGGACTTTTCTTAATCTATTAATGACAATTTTAGTCATATATAGCTCACATTGTTTGTTTTGGGTTTCTGAGTCAGGCCTTATGAGCCAAGTACTCCCAAACTCTTTCCTCTACCTTTTTTTGCAAAATGATAGCTTCTTTTTGTCAATCGTGTTGATATCGTGGTCGGAAAATATTTTTTTCTTGTTTTTCGCATAGGTGAATCCATTATGATCTACATCTGGTACTCAGGTGATTTGAATGAAGTTTATAAGAGCAGTACTATGTTTCTTACTTAGGCGGCTGCGAAGTATTGGGATGCATGCGCTTATTGGTTCTATCCGTTCATGCGGCGAACAACTGAGGTCGGAAACGTAGTGCCAAACGTGTCTGGATAAAACACTGTCTGTCTACCTCGCTACAACCCCACAAATAATCTTACATCCCAAATTAGCGTTATACCACCACAGATCGGCAATGGGGTCGAATGCATAGCGCATTCCTAGGAAGAAGATCAACGTTGGGCGTTTTATCTCTTATGCTTTTATGTTTATTCATAGCCCATCCCCTTCAGAATGGAAGTATTTATCGTAGCTTAGCACCATTAATGCCACAAAGCTAGGGAGAGTTGAGAAAAAGTGTACACCTCATGTGTAGAAATTCGGAGTCACTAAAGTATGGTTGTAAATGACTAGATAGATGTTAACGATGTGCATTTATGGGCAATGTTTTTGATAGATGTCCTTCCAAATAACTACTGTTTATTTGTGATTCGGGATCTACTACCAATGTGGTGAACAAATTGAACTATGGAATTGATCTCTTTGTCTTCATGGTTTACAATTTAGTTAATTTATAAGTTTACACGACATTGTTATGAATCGTTTTTGTAACCAACCTTTCGGCGCCATTGCTTTCTTCAGAACCGTATAAATTCGATTCGAGTGTCCACGGTAAATTTTTCGTCATGGGTCTTCGTATGCAAGTAAGGTCGAACATAGGGTAGTGGACAACTACTACTGTTTTATCCGCTATGTATTCTATCTTGTTATTATTAAAAGAAGCCAAGTGGAAATAAGTCTCGGGTTCCTTGCGGACTGGGCGGTGCTTAATTTTCAACGTCTATAAACTTGCTAGTTTTTCGAAAACGAGCAATAAGTTCTCGGTAACTAGAAGATTTGTGGGTTGTGGACATGGATGGATTGTAGAGAAGACTGCTCTGTCATTTCTATGGGTGTGAATGGTATTTATGATATTTACTATACCTTTCTGTGGTCCGTCATAAAAGCATATTACTACCACCATTTAGAGATGTTTTGCAGGTTATGTTTCAGTATTTTTTATACCCTCACACTCTATCCGATAGCTATCGCTCGGTATAGCAATTGGAATTGAAATAGTAATCAGTCGCCATCCAAATTTCTGTTTAGTGAACTCGTTTTGGAAAACGGTGTTTTTCATATTTCTAAGTGCAGAATAGAGCTTTTCCTGATCACCGCCCAACGCAGCATTTGTATTCTACAAGCTTTTGTCATTCTAATTCTGTTCCTACCACTTTATAGTAGTGTAGTTCTATACATAATAATAAACCCGTGGGAAGAAAACGTGACCCGTAGGTGCTTGCGTGCCGCTCCTGCAAAACCATTATGACACTTATCGGTAGCACTTGCTGCAAGAATATCTAAATCTTTAAAGACTAGCAGTTTTGTTGATTCCTTATGACATCGAATTCAACGTGTTTGTGTCTATATTAATGGGCATATCTTCTCGAGAATGACAAATGCAATAAGTAAGTACTCAATTAGTTTTACTTAACATCTTCCAATAAAGCATCTGTAGGCATTGTCACCAGTCATTCGGCTGAGTGTTCTTAGTGATGTGCTCTGTAGTTCTCTACGTTACATTACTTCGTGTACAGGTGAATTAATTGGTGACATACCTGTGCCTCATGTAGGTGATTTGTTGTCGGAATAACATTTGATCTGTACGATGGAGCAGTGCAGCTTTTGGTAGTTTTGAAATTTCGCTTGTAAGATCTTGTATTTGTGGCAGACTTTGGCCAGACTGTCCTCGGGATTCCAGGGAATCGCAGAGACTAAGCCAGCAAAACTCGAAAAAGTAGAAATTATGCTGGAGCCCGCACAACCAGTGAGGACAGGTCGTACAAGTAACCAGGTAAGATCTTGTGTAACCTAACTCGGGTTGTCCGCTAACTGTGTACTTATAGGTGACCAACCGTTTTCTATAAATTGCCATGCTTTCCTTTTTCTTCCCATAATTTTCTGTGCAATTGTATTGCATCAAGGGCCTGACTGGAACCAAAAGAGTCGTACTCCACTAATAGTTTTCTTTTGTATTTAGTGGACTCATGCAGAATTAGGTACAAATATTTGGATAGTGAGGTGACACCTTTTAAACTAAAATAATGCGGATCCAGCACAAATTCGATTTAAATAACAATTTGCTGATTGGACATGGTTTTCCTTCTTTAGAGCCTCAAGATAGCCGTGCTGTTTTCTCAACTCTCCACCACAACTATTCGCTTGCCCTTAGAATTGAATGGAGGTTTTAAACATTGTAAATAAGTTGGTATCGAGATGATGTGATGTTCTTTGTAGATGTACTGTTAGACTATTAGCTACTCATTAGACTACGTGCTGCCTACTTCTTATTTTGGCAGACTAACGGGAATAAACCGCGCTACATGACTTAGTTGGACACAACAGGCTTTAGCCTAGATATTGGCTTAACTGCTGGAAAGCTCACAAGTATTAGCCACAAATATTGCTTAAGAACATGTGTGTATAGACAGAATCTGTTTATTCTCCCACATTGGTTACCATTGTTTGGTCGTAAGGCATTGACACTTTTCATCAGAACTGACAATAAAGAACAAATGTGTTGCTCTCAGCCACATCAACTTTCCTGTCTCGATGTGGAGTGTATTAACAATGGTGTCTAACTCAGTTTTTCTAAATGATTTAAACTTAAAAGAAATATATTTTCTAGAAGTAGCAACGTGTTAAACTTTTAAAACTGTTTGCTCAAATGTACCAACCGTAAACTCCGTTAAAAAAGTGATGGGACCGGTGCGTGAGTAGAATCTGATATGAACTTCGATGTACAAGTCGTAAAACTGAAAGTGGAACAATTGAAAGAAAAAGACCCTTTGTGATTGACTGCTGTGATAGCAATTATCTAGAGGTTAATTAAAGAGTTTTATGACCAGCTTCCATGCATTGATGGAAGGGTTTTTCTTTTCGAGTACGCGAATTGGTTTTAATTCGAGTTTTTTTCCCGTTTTCAGTGCTATAAATTGGTTTCATAACTAACTGATAGTCTAACTTACTTCTATTGCAGGTTAAGCCGTATAGATTTTTCAAAGAAGTGGGTGACATTAATGCACCCGTTGGAGGAAAGAAGGACGGTATTCCACCAGTAGATATAGGTAATCGTAGTATGTTTCACTTACCAGCTTCCTTGGATAAATTTGAGTTTTAGAGGATGATGCAGAACACGACCGTACCTTGGAGCACGTAGAGAGGCTGTTAGTTAATGTGCATACAAACTTCTATAATTACTACGATGAGACGCAGGAAATCAGAGATGTAAAGGTTTGTGGAAGTTCCGGGGTATTTCTAGCATGAAGTGGTGGAATGCACTATGCTACGTGTTTCTAACTGGTTTATAATAAATGCGCTGCTTTAGGTAGTTATAAGCTACATCAAAAAGCAGGTTCTACGTGGTTTGGTTATTGTGTTGTCGGGTGTGGTACCACTTGGAGTGAAATCGGAAAATTCAGAAGCATATAGATTGTGCGTTCAGTTTGGAGCGACAGTAAGTTAAATGAACGCGTTGGTCATAAAAAATTTGTTATGGATTGATTTAAGGTGGCAGACCAGGTGACGGAACAAACAACACATTTGATCGCAGTACGATGGGGCACAACGTAAGTTTCTTTATTGTTAACACATTGGTGACGAATTGAGTTGACGCGTGTCTACGCGTTATCAGACAAACTGGTTGAGGCAAGTCACATATGACGCATTTCATTTCGGCCGTCTGTTTTAGCACATTGAGCATTTATCCTATACCTGTAAACATTCAGTAACCTATCTAAAACATGTGGCTGGTGTCGGTTAGGGAAAGTTGTAGTAGAATTGTGTAAAAGCTTTTTTCGAACGAATTCGTTCCAACTGGTTTGTCTGATGACTAACTGTTGTTCAGTGCTTTTGTTTCTGCGGTTCCAATACGTGCGACAAATCTACCTATCATCCACAAGGGCCTTCGACTTCCTCGCGCCTGAACAAAGGTTCAGCAAGGCTGAGCTTGAGACTCCAAGGAACCCATTGGCTAAACCAGCAAATCTCCAGACTCAATACTCCGCACTCTGGGCACCTCCATCTACGATGTGGGGTGGAGAGTTGAGACAATCGCTGAGAGACGATCAAATCTCGGCTTCCACAGTACGTCATTGGAAATGGACAAAACAAGCACGCCTGCGACAAGCCTTAGAGAGTGCTTTTGCTTTACACTTTTAACACTAGAACCGTCTCCTTATAAACAGAGCCGACCTTTACCCTCTTCTAGGGTGGGTTTACCCATAAAATTCCATGTGAACGTCCTACAAGAGAGGAAAGGCAGGAAGACGGGTGCTGCAATTGCATGATGGAATCCTTGTCGTTCGAGGACGGAAAGTGCCGTTATGAAATGTCGGAGGTGTTGGATTTGTCGAATAGCCATCTGTTCCTCGTCAAGTCACCTCATATGAAATCCAGTAATGCACATGGCTATTCTTTGTCTCTAACTTACGCGCCGAGCCAAAGTCAGTATCATCATGTTACTAACTTCTACACCAGATGAAAGCGAACCGGATGCATTTTACAACCATTAAGAGAAATTGATTGACTACTTCGTCCTTCAGCGGTCGGTTACTTTTACATTCCTACTTTCGTTTCTGATTTCGGTTTTAACATCTCTCCGAATCAACTAGTAGGAAGACCGAGCGAAGGATTCGTCGTCGAAAACACACCTCCCTCTGATCCACATCGTGGTGAAGACCTGGATACACCCTTGCAAGGTTACGTCAGGACTCCAACTCTAAGTTGCACGGCCAGCAATAGTCCAGCCTCAGTACCCCGCACACTGGGTGCTCCCGTCTATGACGTCAGGCTATGAGACGACCGGTGAGAGGCCAGAAAGTCTCGGGTTACGCAGGACGTCATTGGAACCAGATCTGACGAACACACGCACGACACGCGATAGAGATTGTTTCGTACTATGCACGTATAATGCCAGAACACTCTCCACAGACGCCAATATTCACGCCCTTCTTGTAGCCGCAGATCGCATTAAAGTTCATGTGTTCGCATTACAAGGAACAAAAATTAAGAAGACCGACATACGCCATCTAAACAACGGAAGCCTTGTGATCCGTGGAGGAATGGTCCCGTAACGAAATGTCGCTGGCATAGGCTTTGTTGTCCACCCGTCTATTGTCCATCTCGTCGACTCATATAAGATCCTTTTCACTCGCCTAGTCTTCCCCCTTCTTCAACTGTCGCATCATAAGGAGATCAATATCATCAACTGCTACTCGCTGGCCGACGTAGCTGATGAGTACGAATTAAATGCGTTCCACTATCAGTTGGAGGAAGTCATCTGCATTGATAAAGTATATCATAAATTTGTTGTTGGAGACTTAAACGCCAGAATAGGAAACGCCAACAAGAGCAAATACAGGATCGGAAATTTTGGATTTGGAGAAAGAAATGGGAATGAGAACCGTCTCGCAGGACTCCTGTCAGCAGCACGTCTCTTCCATGGAAACTCGTTTTTCCAGAAGAATGAAAGTCGCCGCTGGACTTGGAAGTCTCCCAACGGCTGCGGAGGTCGACCATATTCTGCCAAACAGAACACAGTGCCTACTTGACACATCGGTAGTCCCGTCATTCCATACTGGTTCCGATCACCACCTTCTTCGCGCGCAGATTCGATTCAGCCGCATGTTGGAAAAGAACTTTCTTCATCGATCACGAGGAAAAGGTATAGCTATATACGACGAGAACATTCTGAACAAAGTCCTCTCCAAACGTGACTGGCAGATTAAAGAAGACCTGACCGAAGACTACGAGCTGCTTATCGAAGGACTGAAAAGCCGTGCCGAATTCGCCTCAGTTCCTCAAGCAAGAAGATCGGATCGCATCTCTATCACCACTAAGGAGTTGCTCGAAAAGAGAAGGAAGCTGAAGCTTGAACCTACTGCAATACGTTTAACATTGCTAGTAATCAATATCAGCTGCAGAAGAACTTTGCAGAAAGATCTACGACGGTACAAGCAGAAGAGAATAATGGAAGCAGCTAAGGAAAGAAGCAACTGAAAAAATGCCGTCAGACCTTGTGTAATTATAATGTTCCGCTGTCAGCCCTGATGAACGAAGATGGGATCGTCAAAACTTGCCGCTATGATATGGAATTAATAGCGGAAACGTACTGCACCAACCTTTCCCGTTCCATAATCCCCGTCCTGTACCCTAATATCCCCGCTGGAGAAAAGCCACCTGGAATTCTTCTGTCGGAGGTTCGAGCTGTGATAGAAAGCATGAAAAGAGGCACAGCTTCAGGAGCCGATAATATCACTGCCGATTTCCTTAGAGCTGGAGGCCACAGTTTACATGTACTTTTCGCAGATCATATGACAGGCTACCTTTAAAAGGAAAAAATCCCAGACCAGTGGAGGACGTCGCCCACTGTCATCCTTCTCAAGAAAGGAGACCGAAGGGGGGATCTTCGTAACTATCGTCCCGTATGCTTGTTAAGTGTACTCTACTCTAGTGTACTCTGTGTTAAGTTAAGTGATTATTCTTTCGCGCATATCAGGGACATTGGATGAGGCGCAACCAGTCGAGCAAGCAGGATTTCGAAAAGTATTTTGCTGCATGAGCCACATCCAAACCGTGTCCAGGGTCATCGAAGTTTGTCGGGAATACCACTTGCCTCTAATCCTAACCTTCGTCGACTATGAGAAAGCGTTTGACAGTGTCGAAACGAATGCAAGCCTACCAGCGCTCGTCGACAAAGAAGTGGACCCGTCCTACATAAGGACTCTGTCCGATTGTTATCGGAACTGCACTACAAAATTCAGCTTTTCCATCGATCTCCTACAATACCCATAGGAAAAGTGGTTCAACAGGGCTACACAATATCTCCAAGGCTGTTCAGTGCCGCACTGCAGTGGATAATGAAGTCACTCGATTGGGATGAGAAAGGCATACGTATTGATGGAAAATTCCTATCAAACCTTCGTTTTGCCGGCGACATTGTCATCTTCTCAAGAAGTACTAGCGAAGCATAGGTGATCATCAACGAGCCCAACGAAGCGGGAAAAAGATCAGACTTCGCACAAATCGAAAGAAGACCCAGTTCATGAAAAACCCATGGTGCGAAGGCGAAAAAATTGAATTCTTTGGCTCTCCCATTGTAGAGACCACCTCGTACGTTTACCTTGGGCGATCAATTAACATGGAAAATAACATGAACGAGGAACTAAATAGAAGAACGAGAGCAGCTTGGGTCCAATTCGGGTCTCTCAAAGAAAGCACCGACCATGTGAAGGACCCGAAAATCCGCGCTCTTCTCTTTGATTCTACGGCCCAACCAGCGCTCTGTTATGCTGCAGAGACGTGGGTTAATACTTCACCTACGTCAAGAATGCTTCGAACTACATATAGAGCGCTTGAGCGATGTCTTCTGAAATATAACCGGCACTCTCAATATCTAGCCGAAATGCGGAGCTCTGACCTTCGAAATCTGTCACATCTTCGAAATCCAGGAGAATACACATCGACAGCGAAACATAGATGGGCCGGTCACATAATGAGAAGAGCAGACGACAGATGGACGAAGAGAATAGTAGAGTGGACTCCAAGAGAATGCAAACGTCCTCCTGGACGACCACCTACACGTTGGGCGGACGTGTTCGTAAACAAAGTTAATCAGTTGTACCCGCAGTTGCAGTTGTTTTACAGATCACGGTATGGGACTTGCAAGCGCTGCCATGCTCGAACAAGATTACCACCATATTCTGCGATTGCGATAGAAAGGAACAAATGACAGATGTGTTGGGGTCCGCACAGCTTCTGAAGACGGACCGTCTAAGTATCCAAGTAAGTAAGTATGTAAGTTAGAGGAATTGGCCTTCAACGAGAAGTTCTATAAATTCGTTTCCATGGGAGTTATTTTTTAAGAAGAAGGAAAATCGCTAATGAGCAAGGAAATCTCTCAACGACAAGGCATGTGCCGAGATCGGTCATATTCTCACGAGCACAAAATGGTGCCTTTTAGACATCTAGTGGAACCTGGGTTCTGTATTCGATCTGATCACCGCATTCTCCGTGTAAAGTTTCGGTTTAGCCATAAGTTGGAAAAGAACTCCTGTCATCGTCCAAGAAAAAAGGAACAAGTCGCGTATGACGAAGTTCTCTAAGAAATACTGCCCTCATATAACTGTTAGATAAATGTTGACCAATGAAGGACTACACGCTACTTCTCGTAGGGCTTAAAACTTGTGCCGAGCCTCTTCAGTTCGCCAAACAAGATGTTCAGGCCGCATCTCCATCACCACCAAGGAGTTGCTCAAAAAGAGGAGAAAACTGAAGCTAATTCCTACTGCAGCAAACCTAGTAAATGTTAGCTGCAGAAGAACTTTGCCGGATTTACTTCGGTAAGGCAAAAAGTTACTGGAAGCAGTTCAAAAACGATTCAGTCTGTAGTGGCGTCGAGATCTTTGCGACCATAATATTCAGCTAGGAGGACGTCGCGCCGATTATCCTGTCCAGAAATGGGTGGCTGAATGGATCTTCGTAAGTGTCGTCTGATATGCTTGTTGAGTCTACTCTACATGCTGTTCACGAAGATTATTCTTTTGCTTATATCAAAGACCTTGGATGTAGAACAACCAGTTGAGAAAGCAGGACCACGATTAGTGCACATAATGTACAGCTTTGTAGCCGAGGAACCATGTCGATTTGATTTACATCGCAACATGGTTTTTCCATGGATTGAATTTCCGGTAGATGGTACTTTCGACAGGTTTCTTCATCCGTAACTGCAGTTTGAATGTAGCACATGCAACAGAATACCTGTACGGGTCCTACTTGCTCAATTAGTTGAGTTTTGAAAAAGCGCACTAGAATAGTCTTCAGGAAAACTTAGGAAACATGTGGAATTTTCGTACGAAAGGCAGGACAGCGTCTTAACGATTTGTTGTCGACGTATTGTTTTGGTTCGGCATCAGTCACGTCTGTCACAAGCAAAGAATTAGCCTTTTTTCTGCTTTTTCGCTTATGACGTCGTAAAAGGGTTAGTGTACAAGGTGCGGAGTTGTTTTGCTGCTGATTGAACGAGTTTTTGAATTTTCACTTTATCAAGACAGAACAGGTTTATTTAAAGGGAAAAGGGTTTTGACTTATTGCATGTGATTATAAAATTTTTCAGTGGTTTATCTCGTGATATTTTGTTTTCAGGAAAGTCATGAATGCATGTAAACTTCGCATTCCAATCGTAACACCTCATTGGCTCTACGCCTCTGTGGAGAAGTTTTTAAAGGTAATTTGGATTTTTCCAGTAAATCGAAAGTTTACTTTCGAGCTGCATGATCATCTTTGTTCTTTGTTTATCAACATTATGCACACGTTTCGTTCGCTAACATTTTGATTGTTTTCATTCATTTATAACATTGTACTATTTTCTGTCTGTGGTAAACTTTCGAAGAACGTTTACTTTTTGGGATGACTCTGTAAAGAATTAAAATTGGAAAAGCAAAGCATTGTAGAATGCAGTGTTGAGTAAGTTCATCAGTTTCTTGAACATTCGTCCTTAGGTCTATTTAGGCGGATGAGAAGGAATTTGAGTTGACAAAGGATTCAAAACCTCCAGATGGTCGGCCACTAGGTAGTAGAATCATTCCAGAACTCACAAGTATTGATGCCATGAAAAAAGAGACAATTGCTGCAATGGAGCACGAGGTTTGTTGTCTATTTTAATGGAATAATGCATTGATTTATTGTCCGCGGTAGAATTTGTTAAGGTAGACGAGGTTTTATCAGAAGGTGACGATTCTGATGAGGAAAGCGAAGCGGTATTGAAAAGGCGATTGAATGGTGGTGATGGAAGTGGAGATGAAGATGATGAAATAGAAAAGGAATTAGCCATGAAGCGAGCTCGTTGGGAACGGGAGGGTAATTTCGAGACACCAGAAGAAGACGTCCAGGACTATGAGGACCAGGGTAGCGGGCTAGACAATGATGAGTTTTGTGAAGACATCTATGATGATATAAGCAGAATAACTGGTGAAAATGACCAGGAAATTACATGTGAAGACGAGAGTTGTGACGTTCCCTATAATGACGAGGAAGATGAGGAGATCGAGGACATGGCGGCACTGGTAGAGCGGCAAGTTTCACATGATGAATAGTGTGTTATGTGTGATCTGTTTAAGAAATTATGGAGGCATCTACTTATCATTATCTTGGACATTCCAACTACATTCATTCGTTTGACGCTCTCGTTGATTTTTACTTGCTTGGATACTTGGGCGGTCAGTCTTCATGAGTTGTACGGACTCCAGCATATTTCGTATATTCTGGGGCCTCAAAGTGTCTACAAATTTGTGGTTTGTAATAGTATGATCTTACATGTTTACTTTATGGTCCCATCGAAAATAACAGGAACTACGTTGTGATGTGATATCTGTGATTATATTTACATTGATGTTATTCATTTTACAAACCATTGATTGGTCCCGATATTTGACAGTTCGACTTAGCCAGCTAGTTCACTCTACTTGGTGGCCTTCACAATCTTTCTCTAGGATTTATTTTGGCGACTAGAGTTATTTTCTTGATATAATGACAATCTGTCATCAATGTCCACCATCCTTTCATAACCTACGACAGTACTAAGTATTTTTGAAATTCGCTGTGTAATTTGCTAAATCTTGTCTATAAGAGGCTATTTTCGCTTTAGTAGAAAGTTCTTTTTGAAGAGATGTATCCCTCAATGTAGTTAAGATTTCTCGAAAACGTTTCCCAGGCGATTGCTTCCTAGCTTTTTTCCCACTTCTTTTTTCATGGTGCAATTTGATAGAAGTAGCAGACGCCATGATTGGTGCCGTCTAGAACGGGAAAATTTTTAAAGCGGATGGAATGTGAAGTACAAGTAGCGACCATTGTTGATTGTAAATTGGTGTGTATATGTTTTTGTATGTTACCTTTTTCGTTTTCTGCTCAAGTTTTGTACTCATTTGACGGGGTCCATTTCGTCCTTGTATGATCCAATCATTTATAAATTGCTATTGTGTTTGACTGCTACTACTGCCAGTTTTTTCTTTTCTTTTCCTCCTTCCAGGAAGATGTCACATTACTCTTGTTTTTTTGTTGTTGTCTGAATCTGCTGAATGATTCTCTTCTGTATATTCGTCTTGGTAGTGCTTCTGAATCTCAGCTTAAACTGGACATGAGGGTATTCAGAAGAATTCAGCCGAGTGTCGTCATCGTAGCAGAGCTGCCACGAGGGCGCTACCGAAGCCTCTTTCTATCAGGTCGTGTTATTTGATACTCATTTTGCGTTTGTTGGTATTTGGTCATGTTTCTGGATTAGTTACGGTTTTTCGAAATAAATAAAGATATTCTATAGTGATGAGTTCCTAGATTACAGCCGTAGTATGTTTGCTACAATGTACCAGACTATGAGAAAATATGAATGGGATGCTCGATTATTCATCGATTGTGCTATGAAGTGCTGATGTCCGATGACTCAGTTGACTGAAGTTCATTCATATAGCTTTCGCGAAGTTCTTTTTCTACATGTTTTTAGTCTCTGACAACACAGAAATCCGGTTTTCTTGTCGTAGTTGCTATGTTGTTACGTTTTCGTGATCTCTACACAATCTCCGTATTCGGTTGTTCTGTAAAGAATCTTGAATTCGACGACCTCACTGAATGTTTTTAGAGGTAAAGAATGGATTGCGACAATAACGATGACACTGTTATTCGGAAAATCCACGAGAATATTGAAGAACTCGAGCGGCAAGGTATGAATAGGTAGTTATTTGTTTGCGCCTAATCAGTAGTTTTGCACCTACTATTCCTAAGTTCATTAAGGGTCTACAGACTGTGGCATATGGCCAACCTGTATGCATTTTCTAGCACTTGTTACTTAGGTGTTTACTTGCAGTTCAACATCTGGATTCGTTTATTGGCAGATTAACAGAAAGTGAACAGTATCGGGAACAGTTCAATGAGGTGTTTTCTTTCGGAATGTTAGTTTCTGAGTGTTTCTATTATTGTTCATCTTTTAGTTAGCCCACAAAGCACAGATGTTATCGAAAGAGACTAACCAATTGATGAAACAACTTGTTCAACTTAGCAATTCCAATGTAAGTGAGGATATCAATTCTCCTTCTGTATTAGTTTAGAAGACAAACGTTTCTTTAGTTGCCATGGATTTGTTGCTCAATTTCTTGGTAACATATGCAGAACTAATTTCAAATTTTCTGGTGAGTGAGCTGCATTGAAGTATGTGTGTTTTTGTTTTCGCGCAAGGAAACACCAACCTAGGTTCACCAAACCTTCCATCCTTCTGGAATCAGCAAATTGGTACCAGATTTCTCTGGGAACAAGGCAGCAATGGGTGGGTACATCGGTGGGCCACCGAGAATCACTGTAAAGGCCAGACATGCATTTCAATTGCTTTCAACGATGCTTAATGAAGTCGAATGCATGGCTCATCCCTCAAGGATTGATCAAATCCGAGAGCTTTATCCGTTATCGTTTTACCAATATTCCCTGTAAATTCAGGAACGTTTGAAGCCGTTTTTATGTTCAATTGTGCTAAACCTACTCACAGCTTTTGCCAATGACATTATTTTACTTGTTACGTTAGTAATTCTGAACATCGTTCTATCTACGAGTATGGCGAGCTAGTGTTTACATACGCTAGATCAGGACGTTATTTTTCCTTTTGATCTATTCAAACGTTCACTTCCAAACAAGATGAGGTCACCTTCTGTCATATTTGATGACATTATAAGTTTTTCTTCCCCTTTTTTCCTTCGTGTTCATTTCTAGTCAGTCCTGAGAAGAAACATGAGTGACTCCCACAGCCGACTTTCTGTTAACCTCGGCATTGACCAAATATTTCTTCATATTCTTGTCCAATAACCACGAGGCACTATTTTACTCTTTATTCCAGTAAAACTGACATTTTGGCGGATTTTGGCTTGAGTAAAAGTAAAGTAGTATGAAATAACACCTTGTGGTTACTCAAAAATATAAAGAAACATGAACGAGCCTGAAAGACACGCTCATATACAAGTGTATTTTACAGCGAACCCTTCGAGTTCACCGAGAGCGTCTTCAAAATGAATACATAGGTGTATTGAATAGACTACAGCGTTGTCAACGTCGCGCTGCGCAGACGGAAAAGGCTGGTATGCGTCAGGTATGTCGTTCACTCGAAGTTAAGGATTTTATGAAAGTTTGTGTAGATCTTGCCACATCTTTTTCTCCGATAGTCGTAAAAGAACAATTACGTCGATCCATTTTGTTCCACACTCCTTAACTCGAATCAAATCCTACTTTCCGCTGATTTGCCATGAGCTGCAAAGGTTGTTTTCTGTTGTTTCCAGCCTCAGTTCAACTTTTCGTGAATTATAGAAAATTACTACCAACGACTACAAGTCGACCGTCTTTGTAGATTCGCTACGCAGCGGAGCAACAAGATGCTGAAAGCAGGAGGAAAATGGAAGAAGAAGCATATGATCGTGAGAAACAGCTCCAGCGTCAACGTCAGCAAGAGATCAATTTGAATGAATTCAAAGAAAGGCAGCAAGTACGTAATGAAATAAGTTTTTCGCCTATTCTTTGCCGATCCTTGCCGATGAGAATCACTGACGATTTTTTTTAATTTGGTTTTCACACATTCGGTCTTATGAAATACTCTGGCTAGTTTTGTAACTGGGATCTAAGGCTCCATAAGTAAGTTGAGGACCAATATTTCTACTGAAAACAAACAGACTCCTCTTCTCATTTTTTAAATAAACATTACAGCCGATATTGTTAAACTCGTTAGGCATGGCCATACGAAATCTAGCTGCTTATGATAAAGTATTAAATAAAAAGTGTTAAGCGAAGAGTTAACTGGAAGCAACTATCAAAAAATCAGAATAGTTCTTTAGGAAATGGTTCTATTAAGGTGCGAACCTGTTATGAAGTTAAGATGACGGGGTTAAACTGTTCTAAATTTTACACCTTTTCCAAAACTTCTTTTATCTGACACATATCATGGAAAATGTACATAATACTATTCGAGATCGAAAATAACTTCCTAACTGTTTTAGTATTTAGTTAGTTTGAAATACTAATTAATATGGAACGGAAGGAAGACTTCACAAATTTTCGTTCATTATACTGTTTTGTAAGGACGCGTGTGGCGCAGTGTTCGGAGAGGCCCTGTAATACACCCATGGAATCGATCCCCGCACTCATGGCCCACCAAGCCTTCCATCTCTCCGGAGTCGGTGCGGTACCTGATTTGTCTGGGAGGATAGCAGCACTGGCTCGATACATCGGTAGGCCAGAATGAGTCATTGTAAAGGCCGGACATGCATCCAATCACTCCCAAAAGATGCTTAATGAGATCAATGCCGAGAACTTTATCCTTTTTAGTTTTTTGTATTGTTTTGCTTACCTGTTTCTTGTTTAGGCTTTGCAACAACTTGAACAAGATATAGGTGATGTCAATCAAATATTCGCTGATTTGGCGCGAATAGTGCACGATCAAGGCGACGTAGTTGACAGCATTGAGGCGAATGTAGAACATGCCCAAATTCATGTAGAGCAGGTTCGATTCTTCTGTTTATCGTCATTCGTTTTATTAAGATAACATTTTTCGCTCAGTAACTTCTCATTTGATCTGGTTTACTATCTAGTTCGTTTTTATTGCCTGAAAAGGCTTTAACGACCGTTTTTGTTTACTGTTTAGGCCTCGACTAATCTACAACAGGCGGTGTATTATAATCAAAAAGCTCGTCAGAAAAAGATGCTCCTCTTTGCTTTCTTCATGATACTTGTCCTTATTATCGGCTTAACTATCTATCTGGCTCGATGAGTTCAGTTCTCTAAAAGTGGTTCTTCTTTATGTGTAAAATCTTGACGTCCTAGTTTTATTATTCTTGTATTCGTTCGTTGTTCTTATGGCTGTGATACTCCTTTGTTTAGAACTTTTGAAACATTTTATTGGAATAGATCGCAACCGTGATAATTTTACTTTTTCCCATCATGACATTTTAGCCCATAATTGTTGGTCTATTAAAAATTAACCAACTGAATGTCTCCTTACTGTATAACCTGTGAGCTGTATAACCACCTCTACCAAGGAATCTTCGAATGCGGTTGGATATGTCTTATATCCTGTGTTTTGTAACGAAATATATGAGTTCGATGCGCATATTTACTATTTGGAATGTTCTGGAGAGAATTCTAAAGCATTAGTTCTGAAGACATTTTGAACGCCTTATTATGTGATGTGAATAAATCTCATTTTATGATCTTTTGCTTTCTATAGACATTATATGCAAAGATATCAGGGTAGCTTAGAGCAGCTTAGAGGTACAACGTACGTGGACCTTGTTTTGATCACACACATTGTGCTAGCCAAGTCCAGTGACTTGCTTGGAAGACATTGCGAGGATAGGAACACTGCCATGATACATCGATAGACCCCAGCGGACCATTGTTCCCTGACGAAGAAACCACTACAATATCTGGAAGCGCATATTCATTTTTCCGCTTATCTCTTTGTGAGGATTAAATGTGACACTTCGGGTGAACTTCCGTAACGACGATCTTCACGAAATGGCGATTGTAGATGAAACGTTGTCTCATCTGTGAATCTTAATGGACTCGTAGGGGGCAGTTGAGCCGTTCGCTATCGCTGTTCGTTCCATAGGTGAAGATACTGGAAGGTAGGTATGAAATGAGATCGTAGTTCACATGAGAGGACTGTATGAGATCTTTCCCATAGAGCGATTCCACAACGGTAAACCGCTGGGCGTTGGTCGGTCGTCGAGGGGCACTGCACTTCATGGAGGTTATCGAAAGCGTATTCGGTCTGCACAGTGACTTTCCCGAGCGTTCTCGAGTTGTCCGTCTACTAATCCAGAGATTCCGATCAGCACAGGACTCACTGTCGTCCTGGAAAAGTTGGAGTCAGCAAATTCCCTTCAGACACATAAACGTCTCGACTGCACCCGAACGTCCTAGCGCTCCTTTCTCCGGCTTCGAGTGAAGATCGTCTTTGACCAGCATTTAAGACGTTATTGAGAGAGGGTAACAGTTATCAATCGAAGCCATATAAAGCGGAAACGCCAGCCTATTTATACTAAGTTTCTGCACAAATTAGTACCATGAGAAAAATCTTTCTTTGTCCGAAACGTCTACAAGTGAACTACAACTTTCGTGCTCAGAATGTCTCCTTATTAAGCCTTGTAGTCCAGGTTGATCACTGTCTGCTTAAAACGTTCACAACGACGCCCGCTTTTGAAAATCGCGGCGAATGACGGCGTCTAACTTCTCTGCGCGCGCCGTTTGCATTCAAATCAATGCGTATCACCAGCAGCGCAACGCGTGCCAGGGATGGTCCCGCCCACTTTTTTGCATTTTGTGTTCAGCACTTCTTTTCCCTCATACATTCCATGTCTCTCAGAGATCTCTGCACTTCTTCCGCGATGTTTCTTTCGTAGTCTCTCATATTCTTCGCACATTTTCGTCTCTTGTAGTGATGAAAGTAACCTGACCCACTGTGGAAACACTTTTATCTCTTTTTTTGGTAGGATTTAGTAGGATGTTGGCGTACATTTGGATACCCATTAATCCATTCAAGACAATAGACATGATTAACTATAGCGAATGAAAATGGAAGAACAATTAAGAATCCCAAAAGTTGGTAGTTCCAGCGAATTAAGTGGAAGGAACTGTCTACAACAAACATCGAAGTGCCCAGATCTCGTATTCTGTAGGTCCATATTGACGTCTTGACTAAAAGATCCACGAGTGGTGTGTTAAGGACCTGTTTTTGACGAAAATATTCCCGAATAGGACATAAAGAACCTGTTTTTGACCAAAGTATCCTCGAATGGGATATATGTACGGACCTGTTTTGAGTGAGGCTATTGTTTTTCCATGTCTCATTCGCAGTCTTTCTATTGCTATCATTTTCTCTTATCCTACTATTATGTTGACATGGTTGGTGTTCCAGTGTTTCTTGCCATTTAACAGGGATTTACTACTATCCATGCTGCAGTAAAACTTCGCGTCTATCATGTTTAAAATCTCCCCAGTCTTACTGACCACAAGTCGATTTTTGCAGGTTTGAACCATGTCAGTGGAAGGCGACTTTAATTTCATCTTCGATCGACTTCTTATCGAAAGTGAGCAAGAAGAAGTTGAAGATAGTGACAACTGTGCAGAATCCCTCGTTTTTCCCCTCGAAGAGTCTGAGGAAAGTGGATCGGAGCACGAGAAAGATGATGATGTCAGCGGTGAGTGGTCAAACAACGTGGTCTCTCACGACGCATGGGTCTTTGATGACAGTCAGATTGGAGTGAACCAACGTCTCCTGCTTGGATGTAAGGAGCCTGCACATTTTTATGAATTATTTATGGTTGGCGTTTGGGATCTTGTTGCTAGAGAGACGAACAGGTACGGCCAAGAAAGCGACCAGTCATGGGAACCGACAACTACTGAAGAGGTAAAGAGATTCATTGCACTTTGTATTCAGATGGGAATTGTTCGATTACCGCGGTTGCGAGATTATTGGAGCTCCTGTTCCATTTTCGGGTCCGACCCTATTGCCTCCAGAGTGATGGCAAGAGAAAGATTTGAAAGGCTGTTGGCTTGCCTCCATTTGGCCAACAATGCATCCTATGATGGACAAGACAGACTGTACAAGATCAGTCCACTTGTCGAAGTTGTGAATAGAAATTGCAACCGAATATACAAGCCCGGCAAAGAGGTGTGTATCGATGAGTCCCTCGTGCCGTTTAGAGGGATAGTCGCATTACGTCAATGCATTCCACAAAAGAAGCACAAGTATGGAGTAAAATTATTCAAATTATGCAGTAAAGGTGGCTACACATATAGAATTTTAGTGCACGCTGATAGGGGCCCTTCCAGAACTGAAAATGAGGCTGAATCAGTAGTGATGAGGCTCATGGCCGATTTGTTGAATAAAGGGAGGCATCTATACACCGATAATTGGTGTACAAGTGTTTCAATGGCTGAGACCATGATCCAGAGAAAAACCCATCTGATTGGAACGTGCAAGAAGAACAGGAAAGGGCTCCCTAAGCAGGTCATCCAACACAAACTGAAAAGAGGACAGTTGGAGGCACGACAGAATCAGAACGGTGTAATGGTGCTTAAATGGAGGGATAAAAGGGACATTATTATGATATCTACGATACATGACGGAACCATTTGTGCCACCACATCAAGACCGCTGGTTGTCGAAAGTTACAATCAAATAAAACTGTTTGTGGACTCAAGCGACTACATGACGTCATATTCCCCGTATATCCGAAGGACAAGCAAATGGTACGTGTATTTTCCATTCTAGAACTTTCCCCACATTAGGTACGTATGACTGTTCTTTCCGGTTGTTAAGGTATATCCGGCTGTTCTTCCATCTAGTCATTCATACGTGTTTGGTAAACGCATGGAGGATCTATTGTGAAAATGTGCAGACGATAGCGTTGGATGAGTTCAAGATTCAGGTCTATTTTGGTTTGGTCCAAATTGATAGAGTACCTACGCCAACAATTACTCATGTGCTGGAGGAGACTTTGGAAAAGAAATGGAGACGTTGCGTTGGCTGCTATAGGAAAGTGGCAAAGTACCATGACTCCGTATCTGCTTCAAAGCGAGCCAAACAGGTCAGTACCAGGTGCAGCCAATGTAATAAACATTTCTGTTTAGATTGTTTCAATAATAGCCACAGAAAGTGTACATTGTAACAATTTTGACTGGCATGATATGTAATTTGAAAGTTTAGCAGGCCATAAAGGTTGTAAGTTGTAAAGATGTAAATAGTAATGCTCTTAACACATAGGATACTTCTCTGAGCACTACGTTCACAACCTCAGTGAAAGATTGTATGTGTAGTTTCCACGATCCGAAATCTTTTCTGTGATGTATTAGCTGTATGAAAATTCGATCAATACTTCCAGTACTACCATTTCATTGTGTTGTAAGGATAAGGATCTCTAGGTTTTGGTTGTTTGTTTATAAATACAGCAGAAATATATTGCCATCGTCTTCATCGTTTAAAATCTGTCGTATTCAATTCGCGTAATAAAAAGCTAAAGTGTTCGACATTGGCCCGTAGCCAAAGAATGCGCCATTTATTCGACTCTATGCAGTAGTGTAGAGGTGATTGATCTATTCTTGAGGAAGTATACTGATCTAAAAAGTGAGTATTTTTCTTTTGCTCTTTGAGACAAGTGAAGTGTCAATCTGCCGATCCCGGAGAACTTCGGCATTTACCCGGTCGCTGAGGGATGTACCATGCATTCGACTTTGTGCAGTAGTGTAGAGGTAATTGACCTATTCTTGTGGGAGTATAGCTATTTAACAGGTGAGTTTTTCTCTTTTGGCCATTGATTCAAGTGGTGTACCAATCTGCTGATCCCAGAGAATTAAAAGTCATAGTTTGATCTCGGCTTCCTCTCAAAATAACGTTCTTGTGCACATTGCAGAGCACCATAAACTGTTGGTTACCCTTCAGGATCCTGTAACTAGACAACGCGCCCGGAAATCGACGCGCGATCCATGCGAAATCGTTCATTTGTAGTTTGTAACATGTGAAAAGTAACCGTTTTGGGATGGTACCCGGTAAAAAGTCGCTGGTAGGGATGTTATCGATTTTGCACGAAAAGTATTGCAGGAAATGTCGCGCAGAAAAGGAAACAATGGAAATTGTAGACGTGTTGAGTTCAATGACTAACGTCACGTCAGTATAAACTGTTTGCTTGAATACAGTCAAAGTGTTCTTCTTAAAAGAAAGAAATTCTTGATAGCATTTGATTCATAACGAATTACTTCACACAGCTC